AATAATTTATTGCAACAACTTTCTTTGTTGCGTTACGGCAACTTTTTGCAACAACATCTTTTGTTGTTGCAAAATTTTTTCCCATCAGCATTTATTGCAACGACATGCAACAACTTTTCTGTTGTTGCCAAAAGTACTTTTTGCAACAATATTCAATATATGGCAACAAAAAAATTTGTGGCAAATTTCATACTTTCTTGTAGTGGATCCCCGACTTAATTGCTATTTGAAATTCCATGTGCGTGGCGTATAGGTGAGGTGACGAGTACCTATGCACCGCCAAATTATCTGTTTAGCCTATTTCCTTCCCCGTTCTTAATATATTGTCTTCCTGTCTTAACTGCTACATGCTTATTGGTGTTTCCATGTTTAATTGCTTCTTGTTAAATGTTGTATTCTTTATTGAAGGTATTAATTATTCTGTAGTTTCATTGTACTTCATTATTTGTTTAAGTTGGCTTATCGGTGTTTCATGGAATATTTTGGTTGGTCTCGCTGTGTAGTATTAATTGATTGAGGTTTCATAATTTGTGTAGTCTTCTGTTTGCTTTGGTTTGAGGCTAAATATTGTGGAGGGTTTTGAGCCACATTGTGAAATTTCTGTCCTTGTTATGTGATTGGTACTGATATGGTGGGACCGGTTGCACGCCGCAACAGGAGGAATAAGGATGATATATTAAGGAGGAATAAGGGTGAAATATTATTATATGGTGGGATCGGGTTCCGTGCCGCAACAGGAGGAATAAGGGTGATATATTGAGGGGTAATAAGGGTGAATTACTATTGTACGGTGGGATCGGGTTGTACGCCGCAACATGAGGAATAAGGGTGGACTGATAAGGAGTAATAATGGTGAATGTTCATATTGTTACTGATTATATGTTGGAATCGGGATGCGCGCCACATCAGTGTATCATTTATGTATCCTTCTCTGCTGTGAAGTTATCTTGTAGTGTTGTATCTCACCTAAGGATTAGTTATAGCTGGTACTGATAAGATATTTGAAGTTCCGTATTTATTTTATTGCAAGTTACTATTTCATTTGTACCGTACTTCTCTTTCGCTTTATTGTATACTGTATGCAGGTTACATTATAATTGCCCCGCTGAAGCCTCGTCACTATCTCGTCGAGGTTAGGCTCGGCACTTACGAGTACATGGGGTCGGTTGTACTGATACTACACTCTGCACTTTCTGTGCAGATTTTGGAGCTGGTAGTGGCTGATCGAGAGGTCGGTTGCAGACATTTCATCTAGGAGACCCAAGGTAGTCCTGCTGGTGTCCGCAAGCTCTGGCGTCCCCTCCTATATTTCTACATTCCCGTTTTCTTTTCTTTCTAAACAGATGTAATTTCTTTCAGACCAACGTTTATAGATATTCATAGTTGGTTCGTGGATTATGACACTAGTTTCTGGGTGGTAACAGTTATGGGATTGTTAATAGTATATAGATAATTGGTTAATTACGTACTTCCGCATTTATTTCAACTTGATTTAACTTTGTTAATGTTAATCTATGAACTGTAAAGACAAAAAGGTGAATGACACTCTAACGTTGGTTTACTTAGCAAGTGCGATGTTAGGCACTATCACGATTCCGATGGTGGAAATTATGGATTGTGACAGGTGCAATTGATGATTTAAGTGGATATTTTAAAATAAGCGATTTTAAACTAGCTGAGGGTGAGCTTTTTTTAGAGTAACGTACGTGTTGTATGATAAGACACAATTCCTTAATTTTACAAGAGAAAGAATGGGAGAGCTTCCAAACAACACGACGATTGCCCTAATTGAGGTATTTAAAAACTTAAAGTGACTGATAGTGTAATTAATGATTTATGTCATGATTTTTTTTAAAGAAAAAATAGGCACGTGAGTTTTGAAAAGTTACGTGACCTTCCTTAGTATTATCCGATAAGTCACTTTCTTAATTTCGCGAGATAGAGAGAGAGAAAGCAAGAGCTTCTTTTGGAATAACGTGCATGTGCATGGTAAATCGCTTCCAAACAACGTGACGATTGCCCTAATTGAGGTATTTAAAAACTTAAAATGACGGCTAGTGTAATTAATGATTTATGTCATGATATTTTTTTTAAATAGGCGTGTGAGCTTTGAAAAGTTACGTGCCCTCCTTAGTATTATCCGATATAAGTCACTTTCTTATTTTCCCGAGATAGAAAGAGTGAAAGCGAGAGCTTCTTTTAGAATAACATACAATACATGTGCACGGTAAGTCGCTTCCAAACCATATGACGGTTGCCTTAATTGAGGTTAATTAAAAACTTAAAGTGACCACTAGTGTAATTAATGATTCATGTCATGAATTTTTCTTAAATGGATGCGTGAGTTTTGAAAAGTTATGTGACGTTCTTTAGTTTTGTATGATAAGTCACTTTCTTAATTTCGCGACAGAAAGAAAAATAGAGTACGTCTTTAGAATATACATGTGCATGATAGGTCGCTTCCGAACGACATGACGATTAACCTAATTAGTAATTAAATCACTTGAAGTGAACACTAGTGTAATTAATGATTTATGTCATAAATTTTTCTTAAATAGGTGAGTGAGTTTTGAAAAGTTATGGGACGCTACTGTGTGGATTGCATGGCGATATAAAATTTGTGGCTAATGCTATTCAATAATGGCGCCAACTTTGTTTTTTGTGGAAAACTTTAATGGACAAAATGTTTGCTACGAAATTTTATGTTTCGTCACTAAAAGTATACGCCTTATGTATTTTAATACGAAACATAATTTTCGTTAGATTAGTGAATAATTAATGATGAATTTTGTGTTGTGGCTAAAAATTTTGTCGCTAAATATCACAATTGTTGTAATGAAAGAGAAAGAGAGGACTTCTAACAAAATAACATGCATGGTGTATCGTAAGTCACTTCGAAACAACAATTATCCTATTTGAGGTGATTTTAAAATTTAAAGTGACTACTGATATAATCAATGATTTATGTCATGAATTTTAAAACAAGCTGATAAACATTCTTTGGTGCCATAATGTGTGTCTGCTGCATGGAAGTCACTTAAATAATTGCGCTTGAGATTGAGCGCTTATTAACTTTAATTCTGCTCCTAATTTCTTTCTCTCTATTTGTTTAATCAGTAAAGTATATCTAATAATTACCTGCTTTCGTTATTTTTCTTCCTTTAACCAAATATTTTTTGAATTTTCATATTTCAATTGGGAGGCAATCACACAGATAGGTGATGCAATAAACAGATCTAGTTCACAACATTCAGTTCATTGATCAATTCTTCTATTTTATTTATAATTATCCAGGCTCTTTTTTTGTTCCTTCCTCATATATGTATTGTCAATAACAAGGGTTATTAAGTAGTTTGAAATATTGCATATACTTTTTAATTCTTTCTTACATTTTCTCTTAGACTCTCACTTCAAATAATGATATAGACAAATAATTTTATTAAATATTGCTTTTAAGTTTTCTTATTAATTAAGGTTTAGCCCGAGATCAGTAATGACATTATTAAGCTGCCCGTGGATATACCAAAAACTAGAGAATCGACTAGTATGTAATATGAATTTCTACCAACGAAAATCTATCTTCTATATATATACACTAGAACCTTATGAGTGCACTAAATAGAAATGACAAATTAAAGGATATTCCTCAAATATACATAGTCGTTCTGTATCCATCAAATTAATTAAAAGCTCTCATATTTTTTTTCCCACAAAATCCAAATAAGTGCTAGAACAACATCGACACTACAACATTATGCATATACAGCTACGAAGTATGTCGTAGCTAAACATGAAAAATTTCGTGGCTAAAGTTTTCGTTGCATCCGTAGCTAGAAGTAGCGTAACTAAAAGTTAGTTACAAACTTTAACATTTCATAGCTAAGAATTAATACTTATTGCTACAAGAATTGTTGTGACGTGGCTATATTAATAAAACTTTTTGCCACAAAGAATATATATTTATAGCTAATGATTTTATCTTTTGCCACAATAAATTAACTTTGTAGCTATCTTCCATACTTTAGATACAAAGAGATATACTGTGGCAAAATGTGTTATTTATTTAGCTACAAAATTCAAATACATAGCTATGCTCTCATATTAGATTTATATTATAGCATGTATATTTAGCTACGAAACCCATAATTTTATGGCTATAAATCGTCAAATATCCACGATTAAATATTTTATTATATTTTATTTGGTGAATAGATTTTTATGCATTTTATTTTTATTGATCAAAAATTAATTTATTAAATTTTTTAAATATTCCATATACATACATTTTTTTTATTAAACCATAGAAAATACACAGTATTAAATTTTAAATATCACTTATTTTATACAAATTGAAATCTAAATAGTTTAATAAATTAATTCTAAAATATACAATTGTCTATTTACAGTACATAATATCCACACTTTCACAAGTATGTAACTCTTGTACAAAAGACATAACAACTAGTTAATATGCAGCAAGATAATAGAAAAAACTTACACTGTGTTTGGATCATTGTTCCCCATCGTTTTATAATGTATCGTATTGTATTGTATTGTATTGTACTGTATTGTATCGTTTTGATGGATACAACGTTTGGATAGACTATATCGTTTGTTGTTGTTAAATAACATCTTTATCGTTTGGCTTGACTGTATTGTACTGTACTGTACTGCTAAGTTTACTAAAATACCCTCAATTATTTTATTAAATGTTGGAAAGAGGTATAACACTTGAGACTAATGGTAGAGTCGAAGCATCTATATCTATGATTATTTTTTGCTATTTACATGTTAAATGGCATGTACTTGTCAAAATATGTAGTACTAAATGATATTCTTTGAAAAATGATATATCAGATCTAATACGGACACAAGTAGAAGATAACTAAACAACCACAATATAGAGAAAACATATGAAATGGAATGATATTGTTCCATATCTCAAATAATTCCAAACTTAAAGTGCATAATTTTAAATCAAATGTGCATGCAGCCAATACATTTTGTGTTGGATAATCTTTTCTTCCACGGTATATAGGTGCTTCACGTTGTGAAACTTTAACACGTATATGTGTTCCATCAATTGCACCAATATAATCCTGACATTATTATAATAAATTATATGCAATCCACCTTGAATTTAGCTAAAAGTTCAATAAAATTGTATTTGTGTTCACCTTAAAATATGGGTAGAATCTTGGGCTGCTGGCAATTTCAGAAGGAACTTGAGAGCCATCAGGTTGTTTAATAAATTTTTCAAATAACCCCAAGATCGCTCGTAGGACAATATGAAAATGACGACTAACCGACTCCCCAGATCGTCGAAAGATAAAAGCTAACTCGCGATTTGCCGTATTATGCGCTAACAGGTAAAGTGTTTTTGCAACTTGCTCTTCAACTGTAGCTTGAAGTGTTAGTCTAAGATCACCCTCTCTAACTACCATCTCACATAAATCGGTAAAAGCTAAAGGGGTCATTCTAATAATATTACGACAAAGTTCAGTTGAGAATAAATGACTCAATAATTCATGTCTAACTTGTTCACTTTCCAGTCGTATATCATGTGTGATTGTACGTCGGTCATTTTCAATTTCACGTACATAAATCCAAAACCAAATGGCTACTAAGCAAGCAGTATATGTAGCTAAAGAGCTCACTTGTTCCAATATCTGTCTATTATTTTGATTACTCCGATCAGCCATCTATAATAAAATTAAGTGAGATACATTAACCAATATCATAGATGAACTAA